GAATTCTGGACTCCTAAAAGGTTTCTGGAAGAGACATAGAGCTCCTCAGAATTTGCCTGTGGGTGCATGGCTTTTTTTAGTCCCTTTTTGAGAGTAAAAGCAGTTGCCTAAAGGAATCAATATGCTATTCCCTAAGTCTGGTGTGGGTAGGATAAGAAATACCATGTTTAAATATTACAAGGGGTATTTAGCTGTGTTATGTTCAAAAGGTGTTTTAATCATCAGAATAGCTGAACTGTGGCTGGGTAGAAATGAGAGGAACTTAAGAGTGATCTGGTAAGACACGTCAGGAGAAGTAAACCACCACAGACTCAGTCTTGAATAGGTCAGAGATGTCAGACCAGAGCTGTCAACTCTGAGTTTTGTGCCCAGCTCCCCCAAAACAAGCACAAAAACCTGTTTACAAACTGCATTCTCCCTAAAGCTTGTAATGAAACTCTCAGAGTTTCTCTTCTGTTGGCCACTGATAAAGCATGTGCCTCATCCCCTGCTATTGCTTGGCTGCATAGGGTCAGAAGTACAGTAAGAAGTAATGTTCATAACAGGAGATTCATGCACAGGGTGATCTGGTTAAGGATAATTTTGAAGAACTACATTACAACTTTGATTCAACCGTGTATTTTCTGCTAGCCTTTCACAATGGCAGACTTTAAAGGAGTGTGCTCTGACTGTTCTTCAGTTTCTGAGGATCAGACTTGCTTGTGTGTGTGTTTCTAAAATGTTGGTTTGTGTGTGAAGTCCTATATAATTCTGAGTATTCTGGAAAATCACATCATAGGTGTCTGTAACCAAGTGGACGAAGACTTCTTACTTTGATCTTCCTATGCATTAATTACTCACTGGTAAAACATGACAAGAATATATTCTCTGTTCATACCAGTAGTGTGAAGGTACTATACTAAATAATTTTTACTTAGGGAGGAAAGTGATAGAAAAGTCTGTAAGAGAACAGTTGCTTCTTTGTTTAGGTTAGCTTAGTGTGCCTGCTACTAAGGCATCAGCCCCATGTTGTTGGTGAGAGAATGAGTACTGAATGAGGACTATGAGCTCTGTACATTCACAAAGGAAGAAGTGTATAAAACTTGTGCGGGTAGCCATAAACCCATCATTGCCTAAATTTTTTATCAGCAGTATTATTGACTTGGCTGCTCTCATGATACTCTTGGAATGTGTCCAGGTCTTTGTTTGTCATATGGATTGGAAACAAAGTTTTATGCAAATACTAAAAATTACTGAAAAAATATATTAAGTGAAAATATTTAAACTTCTTCGCTCTGAACAAATAGATAAATGTATAGAAAGATTCAGGAAAACAGTATAGTATCAACATACCATAGTTTGCTTACAGTCAGTTTTTATTCCAAGAAAAACCTGTGATTTCCTTGTATGACACTTGGTGCAAGGTTATGTAGAAGTGTAAATATGACTGATGCAAAATGTGTTGTTCACATGTTCCTGTAGAAGATCAGTATCTGGGAGCATGTTGTTAGCTGCAGAGATACGTATGCAGTTTTCCATCAGTGAATGGGAATTGCTATAATGAATTGTGGGAGATGAGAGTAAGCAAAGCAGAGCTTGCTCCAAGAGGAGCAGAATAGCATTCTTCATTGTTGCTGCTTACTGAAATAATTTCTTCATCATCTCTCCTTTTTTTTCCTCCCTCCTTTGGTTCTCTGTTTCCTTTCTAATTTCTCCTTTCTGTTTTTTTTTAGAGGAAGAGGCTGTAATACAGTAAGAAAGAGATAAAGCTGGTAGTATTAGTGGAGAGGAGGCAAGGGTTTGACTCACACTTTGAAAGTGTAGGAAACGAAAAACCTTAAAAGTAGTTTTTTATTTAGGCTGTCCTCGATCAATACTGCTTTTGTGTTTTTGCTTCACGTTTGGGTGGTGCTATGAGGTCAAATCTGCTCTTACAGCAAAGTAACTCATGACTCTTGTGGAGCTGTTGAATTGACACTGTAATGGGACTATATATACACTACAAAAATACGTGGCATGTTGTAGTCTAGTGTACAGGTTACAAAGATTGTGATGGGTGAAGGTGCCTGGTGGAGGATAATAATGCAGTCTTATACAGATACAAATTTGCTATACAGCATTTAGAAGGATGTCACCATTATAATCCTTTATGACAGAATAATCAGAATAAAGCAGTGTTATAAGTACCAATTAAGGAACATCAAATCAATGGGTATGCGACTCATGCTGATTTAAACAGGAGCTGATTGGAATAAATGGATTTAATATGTACTTTTATTCTGTGGCTATTCTGTCATACCTGGAGGAAGTAGCATACGAATAATCTAAGGAAGACACTGACTTACATCTGTGATAGGAAACTAATGAGATACATTAAATTTAAAAAAAAATAGACATCAGGGTTCTGACTGGTTATGAAATATGCTGTGTTAAATGTGAATTTGCCTGACTGTTACCAGTTCTCTGTAAAATACATTTATCTGCAGCATATTTATATAAATATCCACACAGATTGTCAGCATAATTTATATTTTATATTGTATGAATTTTGAATGCCACTTATATCTTCTTGGATTTTAACTAGGCTAGAAAATGTACAAATTTGATATCTTAATTTTTGTTCTTCTCTGTTTCGTTTGAAGCTGTATGAAATCCCTTTACTCCTGGAAATAATAGCAATATTTTAAATGGCAGAGTCTTAAAGCCTACAAGAAAATCCATATAGGTATATTGCCTGGTCTGTAATTAGACTTTTTAAGGACATTACATAACCTATATGTGCCAGATGTATAAATATCTTGCCAAGGAGCACCTGCTGAGATGCTCCATCCTACTGATGTGCTCCAAATCCCACCTAGAATTCTCTATACAGAAGGAAAAAGGCTTGTGTTTTGTAATTCCATACAGGTTGATTCCTCTTTCAGCTGCAGTGCTGTGAAGATAAGGAAGACAGCATGGCTAGTTAAACTTCACTGCAAAGCTATACTATTTTTGGTCTTTCATTTTCTGCTTTATGATTTTTCTACAATGCTGCATGTTAACCAAAATAGTTTCTAACGTTGTCCTTGATGTCAACTGACCATGAGTAAAAGGATGTTGGAAGGTAGAACTTGTTTTCCAAGTATTATAGTTTTATGTTCTGGAACTGACTTCTTATAAGACTATTGGATACAAAAAAAAAAAAAAACAGTGTAAAAGAGAGTTTCCTTAATCTCTTTTCATTTTATTTTTTTAATGTAGATTGGATTTCTGAAGGGAAGTAGCACATGGGGGCCTCAGATTGCATGGACTATTTTCAGTTGTCTAGGAGGTTTTTTTGATGTTCTGTTTTGTTACCTATCCTTACATTTGTAGAGGCATTTAATGTTTTACTGATGGACAGATGCATTCCCCAGACAGACCTAATTGCTTCCATTTTATGAAATAAAGTTTGATTTTTCCTCCACGCATACTACACCATGTTCTAAGCTTGGTAGGAGCAAATGGAATTATACTGGATGAGTAAGAAAGGAATTTGATCCACCCTGAAATGCAGCTGTATCGCTTTTCTTTTTGTTTGTGGTTAATGTGAAAAGCTACTTAGTTTGTTGCTGCTATTCTAAATGTCCTGTAATTGATGTTTTCATCTTCTTACTTTGTCTCTCATTAACCTTACCATTAGGGATGGGGGGGAGGGAGGAAGTTGTAAAAAAAAAAGCTGTGCAGTGCACACCTGACACTTTCTTCAAGAGAAAGGGACTAGAAAGTTTCCACCTCTTAGTCATAGCACTGACTGTGTCTTCTGTGATACATATCTCATCACCTCCCTCCTTGGACTCAGGGAGAGCTTTTTCCCATTCATCCAAACTGGAGGAAAGGCTATATCTGGAACTGCCTTTCTCACCCATCCAAAAGGATCAGTGTACTTGCCAGACAGGATCCATCACCCATCAGGGATTTAGAGGAGGTCAGGTTTTGAAGGAATAGAGCCTGTGAGGGTTGTGTTGAGAAACCTTGGCCACAGCAAAAATGGGATTGAATCCAACATTGTTGACTCAGCTTGGTGTGTTCCCACTGCATTAGTCTGTAATATCCCCTCACCTTGTGTGCAGGTGGCTGGGTTTGGTATACACTGATGGACCAGTCCTATGTAGTTGTGTTATATAGCATTAATCCCTTTAACACAACTGCAGTTGATGTCTGTTTCTTGCAAGTGTAACCCAGGTGTGCTGTGTCTCTTGCATTGGAAGTAGGGCCTGCTGCTTGAAATCTATCTTATGCTCTGTATGTCATTCATCCATCTGCCTCCTCAAAGTTTTTGTGAAATTTTAAGTGTCATAACCTATGAAAAAAAAGTCTTGTTAATCTTGTATCCATCATGTTACTTATTTTTATACATCTATAGCCTAAGTTTAATTTTCACCGTTTTTTTCCAAATGAAATGGATCACCACACTACTAACCCCACTGTGCCTTCTTCCACCCCATATATGCAATCCAACTTATTTTATGTACTTGGTGTGTGTGCTCAGAATAACTGTGGCTGAATTGAAGCAGAAAAAAAAGTCCTGTTAATCCAGTGAGAATTAAGATACTGTGCTGGTTATGCCGTCAGAGTCATGTATGACCTGCAAATCAAAGGTCTTACTGTATGGTCAGTGTTTTAGAGCTCATAAGCTAAGGAATTACTCTTAGAGTGTGTTGAAAATTGAATTTTTTAACTAGCCTTGGTTATATTTTTGTTATACATAAAAAGCAAAGCATGTGAAGAGAAGTCAGAAGAAAAATGTAGTCTCAGAAAGGTAGCATCTCTCTTTCTTCTGCAGGCCTCCTTTGTAAAATAGTTTCATTGAATCATGACAATGTTTGCTGAAAAGAGAATTTCTTGCATTTTTAAAAGCTTTGAAATACATTTCATTTTGTAATGTAAGACCTCTCATGTCAGGTGCACCTGCTTGATTTGCATGTGAATTCTGAACAATTCCTGTTTTATGTGACACTTCTGAAATGTCTGTCTGTTTTTTTTTCTTTTTAATTCTCAAGCTCACTATTTGGATAAGATAGTGAAAGGTACTGTATATTTGCTCTTTGATGACATGCCTATACCTACATGTATTCTTCTTCCATTAATATATAGTTAAAAACATACTAGCCTGGACAAAAGAATCTTCTCTTACATACATTCCATGGATTCTAGATATAACTCATATGACTTTCAATTCATCTCAAATTAAAAATGAAATTTTGCTTCGTTTATATAGTAACACTTTATTGGTAATTATACATTTGTATGTAGACTGTATACATATTAGATTTTATTTGAACTGATAACTGAAGATAGTATTCATTTGCTGTTTGGAGCTTTTTTTTTGTTAGTTTTATCATTGGACCTCTACCTACAAAACAGTAAATATTTAGGAAACAAAGCAAAGCGATACTCTTGTCACAGAACATGTGTCATTACTTCTAAAGAACAGATTAATTATAGAGATGTGCGTGTTTGTATACAGACAGATCAATAGAATACCCGAGGCTTTTAAGCTTTTGATTACCTGAGTGTAGAAAATCCATAGGAAATTTTGACTTGTATTTTGTATGAGTCTAGAAAAAGTCTGTGCAACATTTTCAATTAAGAGGTTCAAGGATGCAAAAGCCTAACAAAACAGCAAAGATTCTTATATCTTCAGTTATGGTGAAAAATTGATTTAGA